AAATGCACCCTCTGTAGAAAAGATTATTCTGTACACAACTTTGGTTATATACATTCCAAGTCAAAAGATCAGGTTCTTATTTATCCTAGTATGATAGTTTCGGAGCACAAAATTCCCTACTCTTCGTTTGTAAGATTTACAAAGAACTGGAGTTGTTTAACAGGGTTGGAGATGAGCCCATCAGGCTTTTTAATTAAGATATAAGCAAATTTAAACTTTCATATTCAAAGTATGCCCAGCAATGATTGTTTTCACAAGTTACGTTTAAATGTCTGGTAGTTTTCAACCCGTGAGAAATGTGAAAGGAAATGGAAATGTGATGTATGCCTTCCTCTCAGACCCAATACGCCTTAAAACTGTATCAAGCCACCGTGGCCTGTCTTGACAAGTGGTTTGTTGTGTACAAAGACGAATGACCAATCTCTAAAGTTATGTTGTCCTTATTAATTGGTTTCATTTAATTTAATTTATCAATTTAATTTTTCGTTTTATGAATGTTTATTTTACATGATCTGAGAAACATTTGTGTTTCAGAAATACGAAGTCGCATACATAATTTTTATAAGCTATATTGGTATGTTTGAAATAGTTTATTGATTGTAGGTAAAAGCCACAAGAATATCCAAGTCACTTTGACACCTGTAATTATTTAAATGGAGAATGTTCCAATATGCATGTGTTTGTCACATTCGCACTTTAATTCATCTAACATCATTCCTTATTCGAAATTACCAAAAATGCAAAATCTGGAGTTGATAAATTGAATCCACTTTAACCATAGAGTTATATGTAAATCAATTCTTCTTTTTTGGATAAGACGGATTAATGATACGTCTAACGAATCGATAACTTATCCAACACTATCGCGGAATTGTTTATGTGGTTACTTAGTGAATACTTCGTGTGTACGGGATGGCTCCGTACAACCAGGCTTGCTCATTTAAACATACTGACAAGTAAATTACCATGTATGTTAATGTATATATTTTGCATGGCGTTAGGAACAAAGTTTAATACTGACAACTATTGGATCTGTTACACCCATTGATGTTAGTGAACAACGTTCTGCCAATAACAAAAAATGTAAAATGTTTATTCCGATAGCCAAACTAAATATGTATACATGAATACAAGGGGAAATGGTGGTGTTAGACCAGTGGTAAATGCGTTCGCTCGTCACGCCAAAACCTGGGCTCGATTCCCACATGGATATGCAAGGTGTGAACGCCGTTATATTGATTAAATGCGGTTAAAAGTGGCATTAACCCATACTTACTGACTTTGTTTGTTACCCTATATACAACAGTGATGTCTGACTGGATCCACCAAACCATCCCTATTTCAGATCACAATTCTCAAACTACCTTTATTTTACTTCACAATCCCCCGACCAACCATATCTTGTTTCACAATCATCCACCCATCCATGTCTTATCACACAATCATCCAACCATCCATAGCTTACCACATGATTCTCAAACCGTCAATACCTTATTACACAATCATCCAACCAACCACATCTCACTACATAATCCGAAGACCACACATTGGATGGGGTCCTCCCATTTGTCAGACACCCAGCTGTCAGACAGTGGAATATTGTTTAACTGCCACACACCCTTTTACTCATAATGATATGACCCAGACACTGACAATCTCTTGGAAGTTTTAAGCGGCTTGGTTAAACTGTAAATATGTTTGTATTCAATGAAGTTTGCGGGATGGTGCTTACTGCTTGTTTTGACAAGTGAGTTTTATGGGCTTCGTTAACATAACCAGTTTGTTTGATAGTAGGCCAATTAAAAGTAAACTGTCATCCCTTTAAAGTGTACATAATTCTTATTTTAAGGTTTCACAGTTTGTTGTCACTGATATGCTCACTGAGTAGATCTGTTTGGTCTCATAGCTAACTTTATCCGAAATTGTTGTCACTGAAATTAGGAGCTATATTATATAAGACACATGATCAGAAGATACCAAACCATGGCCGGAGCTGCATTACGCTAAGTTGAGTACGTCACATCTACAAGAGGAACACAACATGTACTGTTCGAAAGGTACTTGCACAACAAGAATGCTGTGAGGCAGATCTATACACACTGGCGATGTGTGCTGAAGAATTGTACTGGCAAATGCAGCACTGTTGATGATGACATCAGGACAACTTCAGACCTTAGTCATCTCCCATAACAGCCTGCGAAGTTCAAGTTGATCAGCAGACTCAGAAAACGGGCCAGAGCAGCCCATATGCAGTCACTCTACAATGAGGAGTTAGCCATCCAAGATGAAGATCAGATTCCTTATCTACCATCATTCCTCAACCGCGCCCTCTATCGCCTCCAGACTATTCCTGTCTTTCCACAGACCAGAACTGACTTGGACCTTGATGGTGAGTGGACGAAGACCACTGATGACATTGACTTCCTCTTATTCAGTGACGGAGATCACAACAAGATTGCCAGTTCAACGACTACATGGTTGTCAACTGGGTCGACGATTCCGGATACCAACGAGGAACCATCATGATACTCAAGGCTCAAGGACCAACAACAATCTATACTCACACGCAAAAGAAACGCATGTGGTTTTAAGCAAATAGGTAACAAACACGTAACCATAAATTGATACGAGTTTTAGCATGTAGTGAAGCCTGATGGTGTTATCAATATTTTTGGTTGCATTTTGGAAGCCCCGAGTAAAACCCAACATAAAAAACGAATCGCTAGAACACACCATTTCAATGAATATTTGGGTATCATGCACCCATTTCTCGCGAAATCTAAAATGCACGAACTGTCACGAACTGTAGTGGGTATAAAACTGTGTCCGATTCTTGGACCTAGCACTCCTTGGTCAACAATGCCACGCCTAACTAAAATTCAGAGAAACCAGGCTATCGGACGTTTGGAAGCTGGAGAGTCTGTCCAAGATGTTGCCCGTTATTTCAACGTTAACATAACCACAATTTACCGTCTCCTGCATCGATACAATGCTACCCAGCCACAGATGACCTTCCTCGGAGCGGTCGTCCTAGGGTCACCACACCTCGACAAGATCGGCAGATTACCCGTCAACACAAGCGACATCCGTTCCTAACTGCAAGTGAAAGTGCTCGGCAGACCATAGGAACACATAATCGACACATTAGCCGGGACACTGTGATCCGACGTCTCCGTTCCGACAACCTCAGATGTCGCCGACCAGCACGTCGTCCTGTTCTCCAACCACGGCATCGACAAGCACGACTTCAGTGGGCACAGGGTCATCACAATTGGCGTCATCGTCAGTGGAGGCGTGTCATCTTCTCTGATGAAAGTCGCTTTTGTGTCTCCCATGCAGACGGAAGAGTCAGAATTTGGCGGCGTCGAGGTGATCGTTTCGCTGACAGAAACGTTGTGGAAAGGGATCCATGGGGTGGACCTAGCGTCATGATATGGTCAGGGATTGAACTTAATGCGAGACTTGGACCCATGTGCTCTCTGAATGTTGGTCAAGGTCGGGGACACGGCGTCACTGCTCGGCGGTATATCGACCAAGTGATCAGACCCCACGTTGTTTCATTTTTTGCACAACAACACATTTTCCAGCAGGACAACGCTTGTCCCCATGTTGCCAGAGCTACCCTTGCCTTTCTGCAACAACACAACATCCGTGTCCTACCGTGGCCAGCCCTCAGCCCTGATCTAAACCCCATCGAACACTTGTGGGATGAGGTTCAAAGGCGTCTGCACTGCCGATGAACTACGCAAAGCTGCTCTGGATGTTTGCAGGAGGATCCCTAGGGCCTTCACAAATCGTCTAATCCACTCAATGTACAGGAGATGTGTGGCAGTGATCAATGCTAATGGTGGTCACAGCAGGTATTGACTGACATTTTGGGTATTGACCCGAAACTGTAAGCCCTAAACATTTGAAAAAAACCAATCATGTCATCTGCCTTTTAATCCATTAAACTGTCTTCAGTCAAATTTTTTTTAATCTTGCCCTATTAGTATTTCTTTCTTTACTGTTGAAAATAAATAACATGTATACTGCATACTCGACTTGCGTTTCTTTTGCTCGTGAGTATAGAAGGGTTCGACTATTGGCTGAACAAGTCTCTTCCTCATCGACACCCTAACATCGTCGTCTGATTGAAGTTATGAAGAATATTGTAGAAACAGAGCCAGGCTTATCCGGATTGACTTCGGAACAGCGCCTCCAAGCATCAAGAGAACCAGCACTGAAAGGGAGGGGCGCCTTCTTTGCCTGAAGGAACAGTTGCGTCAGGAAGTGAAGACCACAATGCAATTTCTGGATGCAGCAGGTTTCATTCCAACTCCGACCTGAATAACTGACAGTACATTGACATTGAAAGTAAATATTACTATATTCATAATGATTGATGGCCATTATATATTATGTATATGTTCTGTATTATACTTCATGTATATAACTAAAGGTAAAGTCCTTTAACTGAGCACGTCGCTATATACGTGCAATAATCTTGGACGCGACGTTAAACCCCATTTCAACTCATCCTCACCTTTAACTGAGCAATATATTTCAAAGTATAAATCAATTATAAATCAAGAATCAACACTGATTTGTATGAATTTTGTACCAGTTGTCAGACAGTTGTTGACGACAGGTCAAGTCTTTTCGGATTTAAGGGAATATTTCACATACCTGATGTGCCCTCAACCATAAAGGTTGTTGTTTTAAGCTGTCTGATAAATAAGGTGTCTGACAAATGGGAGATGACCTATTGGATACTGCAATATCCGTCGACCATCAATATCCTAGAAAATGATCCTCAGACCACCGATATCGACCATCCACTTATATTTTTCTACACAACCGACCAACCACCGATATCGTTCTACACAATCGACCACCCGCCGATATACACGAATGGATGTGTGAATCTATTTTGTATGTAGTACAATTCGCATCTGACCTTTGAAGCTTTTCATCAAATATTTGCATTTGCAAAACATAGAGAATAAAAAAACCATGAATTAATATATGGTAACATTTTAATGACTCAATGAATATTTACATTAAATTACGGAAAAAAGTATCTCAGTCCACGAAAACATAAGGAGACTTTAAACTTCTAGTTGATAGGTCTCGCAGAAATAACCAAATGAAATACATTCAATTTTATATTAGCCAATCTATATACAAAGTAGAACACATCTATAGTATGCATGTTGTGTTATAATTCTGCTCAAAATACTTAGTAACAGGCAACAGGTTACATGTAAACATTAAACCACCAAGTATAATCCATCCTGTTGGCAAACGAGGTTAGACATGTGTCCTGAGGAACATATAATATACGTATCAAGATGTGAATCACAGTAACGATCAGAGGTAAAGAACATATTGAAACATTATGTCTTTGGTGAATTTTGAAATAACGTTTATCATCACAAAAATGAAGAAAGTAGGCTTGTTTGACACTTTAAATTTAGACGCCACTGCAGATATATCGTTGAACACATGCATAGAGTGAATATATACTTGGTCCCGAACACGGAAAACATGACAATAATCAGATATTCGGCTGAGTGTATACCCCGTGGGTATAGAAAACATTACTGGCTCGTCCTGAATGAATCATATTGAATGACACACGTTTTCAGTAAGATAGAATATAATTGAAACCCACATGGCCTTGATTGGCCTTTATCGAGAATGGTATGAAGCACTTTGTTGGAGGCCTTGTTTGTTTCTTTTAGATTTGATGATTACACTTTCAATAAATAAATAAAGCTGTATTCAAATACAACAAGGCGCATAACATACTCTACTGTGATGACATGCCTACGACAAAAATGTAAAGTGAAACTCTTTCTCGAAAAGAAGCTGATGTAGGCCACAATATTCAGCGTTAAAGTACATTTGGTCACTTGAGATTTCTAAAATATGATCTAAGACAACTGGAAGGTGAGCATACCACAAGACTAAATCATAAGCCCAATATTGCCTGCACTTAAAGTTGTTGGAGATAGTCGTGGAGTGATAAGCACACCAGCTACTTTGGATTGCCCAATGGGTAAAAATATCAAGCCCATTCCAGGTGGCTCCATCTGTTTGTAATCTGACTGCTACACACGCGTAATGTTCTTACCGTATGAATTGTAATTTTGTCATGACCATTTTCACATTTTTGTGTGTAGTTCACGTTGATTTATGAAGTAAGAGGAAATATCATCTCAATACCCATACGAGTACCCACTAATCAGCATATCGGTTGTGCTTGCCAACCCACAACAAAGAGTCATAAAGATGATCAGAATGCAACTCTAAACAAATATACATTACCAAATATGTAAAAATACTTCATCTCTATTTGGTTGTTTGTGTTGAAAATAAAACGTAACTTCCATGAAACTCTATAGAGCTCTATATACATAGAAACAGCAGTGACTTCAGTATTCACTAGCATCATGTGATTGTCGAAAAAGGAATTCGGGATGAATGGATTCATGCTGTACTCTATAGGGAGAAAGGCAAACATACAATACAACCAAATCCAACTTTTACACATGTCTGGACCGATTCATTTTGATTGCTGTTCAAGGTCAGCTATTAATCGCGTTTAATCTCTTGTCAGAAATAGAACCAGTTGTAACCGGGTCCCTTACAAAATATCCAGTCAAACATCTTGTGCTTGGGCATACCTTACAGACACAACTAATTGATACACATGAGTTCCCATACTTTTTTGAGCAAACAATGTTTCCTTTATGCCCCACAATAGTAAAAATCACTGATAACAAACGGGTCCATTTCCTCTTGTGTTCAACATCAACACACATCAGTTACGTTCACCCGTTATCCTCGATAACTACAAATGCCGTATGTGCCTCAGAGCTAAAGCACGAGAGCGATCAAACATTTGCACACATTACACTAGCTTTCAGAAGTAATAACCTCACCGTTGTGCGTCTATCTAAGACCCAAAGTCAAAATCAGAAAAGGCCTAAAATATGTGACACGAAATAGTCTATATTTGTAGCCTTGTCGTTTGTGTTTGGTTGCAGTTTTCCTGGTGTTTCATGAAAGAAAACATCATGTATATGTAATGATTCACACACAGCTTAGTATATGCTACCATAGTGTTTGACATCATATATTTTACTTCACATCCACATCAAAATAGCAATGGTGGTATCCCACCAAGTATCATATTTGATTCCCATATTCTTTGCATTGAAGATGTGTAAAGCCGTTCCTTGAAGGATGAATTGTTCTCAAGCCCCACCACACGACCACGGTCTCTCGATACGCACATCTATCGACAATGCTGGTGTCCACAACAGACTCTTGTCACCAGATCACATCGTTGAATATGTGTTTGCATTTCTCCATGTATCCAAACAGTCTGCAGGGAATGATTATCACTGAGCGTTTAAAACACTGGGCCTGAAGCTGCAGGCTATTGACATCATCATTGCTAGGACAATACTCACTGACGAAGCACTGCGTTTAGCCCCTGCACTATACGACCCTGTGCCGAATACCCCTGGAAAAGAGGAGAAAAGCAAGACATCAGTATCAAATCAAACCTTTCTAAATAAAGATCAAGTGACATATGCATGTGTACCTTTAATATCACAAGTATTGTTTCCTGAAGCTTTGTAATGACATTTCCTTGAACAAACTTTAGAGATAAGGACAGAGCATGAAGTTTCAAATGCGCACACACTATTCTGAGAATTCTTGCTTAAAATAGGGAAAAACGGTTCGAGAACACGCAAAGTATGATCAGTCAACGGTAATGTGTAATTTTCAATTTGAAAATCATTTCCTGGTGTTAAATTGTTTTAGGTAAGGACGAGTGATGACACTTCCAAACTGACACTGTAACGCGCCTATTCATTTTTTATGTCTCTTTCTGAAACATTTTAACAAAGGTATGATCCTTTAAAAACAGAGCGCATATTTTGAGACGGTTTTGTCTAAAGTTACAATCCAAATAATCGGCCTTAATTGACTTTGGATTTATTATCTGACAATGTATCAATATCGACCCAGGCTCTACATTCGGGAATTTAATATGTTGTTTCACATTCTCAATCTGAACACTTTCTAATTGCATTTGAACTGCATTTTTTTCACAAATTCCTCTCAATTGCTTCTGTCTTAAATGACTGTCATTGTGTTTTTGTCCTTCTCTATTGCAATCTGTAAAATATTGCAATGGGTCAGGGCACTTGGGCGATGTAGTAAGGCGCTTTCAGAACGAACTTAAGCACCAGGAGCAAGTCAATTTTTGAGGCCGATGCAAAGCGAAATCAGTCGGAAACTTGGAGAGAACAGAGACACCTTGTGATTCAGGGATTACACCAGAATGTCTATTTTGGGTGATGATTGACAGTTGTAATACCAACACTACCTGGAGTACACTGATGCCAGCTTGTTAGGTCTAATCGGACTGTTTACGCTACGCAGGCCAAAATAATATTATTAAGTAGGCAACCTGAATTTTACTGTCAAGGAATCTACAATTAGATGCATATCAGTGCCAGTGTTGAAGCTGGCCGTCATGTCGATGCTAGACAGACTAAGCCTTGGAGAAAATGGTTCAGTGAGCTTGAGGCTTAAGCGTCAAATCTGCAGTTCTTCAGGTGGAAATAAACATTAAACTACCTTCTTAATTTTGTGAGATGTATCGATTTCCATGTTGTAACCTTCTCTAATGTGCACTTACTTACAAGCAATATCTTGTAGCCAGAAGGCTTTATGACTACACCAGATGCACATAATTTAACATTTACCCTCAGGTACAAGTTTTCATCGTGTCATTAAGCGCCAGACATTACCTCACGGAACTTAAAAAAATACCAATACACTGTAGCTCACCTTGATATGTAGTTAGCATTTTTACACACGGATACACATTACTGTCAACAGTAATATTCACACATTATCTGCAAACCTAAGAAATTATTGATACTAAACTTATGAGAGAGAGAGAGAAAGAGAGAGAGAGAGAGAGAGAGAGAGAGAGAGAGAGAGAGAGAGAGAGAGAGAGAGAGATAAATAGTGTCTGTAAAGAGATTATTTACAATTTTGAACATACTTTTTCCAATTAATTCAAAACCTAGACAAACATCTAGATTTAGTACAAACTGGTACCTGAGAATAGTTATTTTTGTAACATCGCCTATGGCACAAACGCTTAATGTGGACGAGATGTCTTGAAAATATTTTAATCTACTGTAATCATTGTGTGAACGGTACAGCACCACAATCAATATTGCAAATGTACGCCCCTCAGAGGTGTCCCCGTCCCAACACACAAAACAGATTGTGCATTCCAACAATGAAGCCCAAGTCCTATGGAGCGAAATGTACTACTCTTGAACCAGGAACATGATCAGTTTGTGTCACGTGCTTGCTGGTTGACAAATGTGTTCACAGCGAACTACGACCGCCAGTCCTGCAAAACACATAACTGTTTTATTGTTTTCATACAAGATTCTGACGCCCGTCCCCCAGAATGATTCATGTATGAGCCAAGGACACGCTCGGTGGATGTAGCGCAATATAAATGGACATATTATCGTTATTTACAGATTAAAATAAAAAAAATGCAGCAAAGAGGGTTTGGGTGATCCTGACACAGTCAGGCTGGTAAGGCCCAGGGCCATACACTCAGCCCGGACAGCGAATGGGACTTCTCCCAGAAAGCGCTGCTTAGTCAAACCCACCCAGAGCCTTTCTGAAAGTGTGAAGACTCCCCAACACTGCAGCCTTCAGGATTACCCAGATTGTCCGAAGGGTTGTATTCCTGGCAACAAACCCGGGTACTATCACAATGTCAGTCAACAGATGGGAGGTAAAAAACCTAAGGAACCGAAAATAGTCGGACAACTTGGTACTTGGGATGCTATTGTGTCATTTCGAAAGCGAGGTCCGCATATGTTTTTCCTGAATCCTGTCACTCACATTAGTGTCAATAGGGACAGAAACTTCAATGATATAAATGGTTTGATTGGATTTATCAAAATGTAGAAAATCAGATTTGTTGGCCTGGTAAGGTCTGAGGCTGTATACGGGCCTATTCAAAAAAAGAATTTTGTATTTATCATTTTCCATGACGCCCTCTACATATTCCGGGTCGTACCATAGATGGACCACTGCGTCAAAACCACAAGCATGGCGAAGACGGTAATAAAATGATCGAGCCACTCCATCATGTCGCTTAAAATACTGTGTTTGTGCCGAAGCTGGACATGTGTTGGACAAACTTGTCAGGCCTGCCGACTAATGTGATTATTATCACAAAGTTTCAGCCTTCTAGGCCCTGTGCTGTTTCAGAAAAGGATATCTAAACTTTTGATACAATTTGATATGACGGACTTCAGATCCCAAGCTTCATTTATGGTGTTGCTTCTGGATATGTTTACAGAGGCAATCGCCGCCGACGACGACGGGCCCGTGAAGATCCGGGGTAGAATAGGTCTTCAGCAACCCATGCTCGCCGTGAGAGGCGACTATGCTTGTCGTAAGAGGCAACTAACATGATTTGGTGGTCAGGCTCGCTGACTTGGTTGATGCATGTCATCGATCCCAATTGCGTGGATCGATGCTCATGATATCAGTCACTGGGTTGTCTGGTCCAGACTCGATTATTTACAGAATGCCGTTATAGAGCTGGAATATTGCTGAGTGCGGCGTTAAAGAACAAACCAACCAACCAACCGATGATGACGGAAAACGGACATGCATGCGGGATAAGCTCAAACGCCACTCAACTAGCTTTCCAATGGGAGGGCATAGTGTATAACAAGACATGTGATGCGATGCATCAATACTACGACACTATTTTTCATCAAATTATGTTTACAATATAATAATTTCGCCGAAATATTGAATCAAAACAGACATATTTAAAACAATATGAACAATATTGGTATCAATTTATTTCCTGTATTACATCTTTAAACCATGATTTTGAGTTCTATGGGATTACCTCCCTTTCATAATGAATTTGATAAATGCGACTTGACCTACTTTCGGCCTGAATAAGCTACTGCGCTTCTTTACTCTTGAAAGACATTCCAGCCTTTGATAGTCATTGGAAGATATACATGACACTTTTTATGAATAGCATATGCATATCAACGTACAAAGATAACGATATAATGACGAAGTCGATGAAATAGGGGTACTTGTAATGTATAAAGTTAACAATGTAATGACGAAGCGAATGGGATTAACAGGTGAGGATTCAGCTTAGTACACTGAGGGTCTAGTGATGACAAGGTGCTGGCTATTGTTACACAAGATGTCCATTGTAGTTGATGATGTGATTATAGCACAGTGGAGTACACACTGGGTAGGTAAATACCTTGGTCAGCTGGCATCATTGGGGAAAGAAGGGGAATCCTACATCAGCAATTACAGTACCTTTGTCAACAAGCTCACAGGTGTACGATGTAGAAGGCCTGTTCACCAACATACCTCTGCAAGAAATCTTCAAAATCCTACACAGCAAGTTACAAACCCGCATTGACCAGTAAGACACATCCCACTACGTAGACAGCACCTCCTGTTTCACAACCTTGTACTTCAATGGAATGGCAAGATTTATCAGCAGATTCATGGCCACAAATTACAGAAATCTTGATGACTAATGTTGAATAAACTGCCATACAAAAACCAGGACCCCGAAGCCCAAGCGGACCACCTCAACCTATAACACCAAAGATAGTTCACCTTGGAAAGAGAAAGCCACCACCAATTACCCTTCCTCGATGAACAATTCGACAACAGTCATGACAACCTCCACACTGCCGTCTAGCGCAATCCCACTCAGACGTACCAGTACATTCAGTCCATGTCAAACCACCATCCTCAGATCAAACAAGCCATAAGTGCCACCCTCGTTAAACTCGAACGGTAAAGGTCCTACCCGCCTGTATACACAAAGATATTGGAGAGACTTCACGCACCGTAGTCACCAGAATAAAAGAACACAAGACCTCTGTTGAAACATATGACACGAAATCTGCCCTTTGAGAAAATCTCATAAAAAATCCTGACAACCGTCTATCCTGACCACTAACTAATATTCTCCAAACCAACATCGATGATTGGAAAAAGAGGAAATTTCATGTATCTATGTTCTTCCAACTTCTAAATGTCTATCAGAGACTTTAATGACTTTCCAGAGTAAATAAGCGTAGGCCGAAACTAGGTCAAGACCGGCATGTAGACACGGCCTCCGTCTTATTATTTCGGTTAACTTTCTAACAAATGTCTATCATGTATTTCAGGTTTAAATGAAACTAAAACTGAACACCTAACACAACATCCAACATTTTTAGACGAAATGTAACATGTCATATTTCAATTAACCATAAGTCCTGTAGACCTTTCAGAAAGGTATTACGAACAGAAAGGAAAAGAAGTTATTCCGAATTCAATGTCAACACAGACACATTTATGAGAACACACACACACACACACACACACACACACACACACACACACACACACACACACACACACACACACACACACACACACACACACACACACACAGCAAGTTGATGACGGTGGCGTGAACCAAATCTCAGTAGCTAAATTGGTTCTTACAGCGACTGTAGTTCTCGTGAATATTGCGTAATAAGGCTACAGATGTGAAGCTTACCCGTGAGTGGTTGTTTTCTGTCTGGGTTTCTGGCCACTGGCGTGACGGGTCTTTTACCCGGTGCTTGTGTATTCCAGCTGTTTCCTTGCCATTTGTTCTCATCCAGGAAGGCATTATTGCCGTCCCAGTTATTTGTGTCATGCTTTCTCTTATGGTCATCATTGTCGTTTTCCAGCACCACTATGTGACGAGGTATTGTCGTCGTCGTTGGCGGAGGAGGTGTTGTTGTTGTTACTGGAAATACCTCTGAAAATATATCATTCCGTATAGTATCATAGTCACAGCATGAATTCGATAAGTGAACGTTGAGAAGCATATATCTCACAGAAAGCAGCTGAAGTGAATCCAGTTCGTGTTTACTGTCTGACAGTAGCCGCGGTATAATTGCAGTTGCAGTAGAAGTAGTAAACACCTTGCAGTGGTAGTAACTTTAATTTTACAAGTAGTCGACATTGTAACGGTGGTAGTTGGAAAAGTAGTCGAAGTGGGGGCGATAGTGGGAGGGGCTGAAGCAGTCAGTTTATATATAAGGTGATCATTATGACACCAAACAATGACATGGTCCACAGCATACCTACAAGCTTCATGATAGCTTTTGTTTTTCCTAAACTGTTGGAGGCCTCACATACGTATTCCCCGAAATCTGAGCGGTCTATGTGAGCTATCCGAAGACTGAGTGTTATCTTGTCCTGGCCATCGTTGTAAAGATCGAGCTCATATTTGATACTGTTTGAGAGACGCTTGTTGTTCCTTGTCCATGATGTAACACCCAGGGGCGAGGCACTGATTATACATTCCAAAATAGTCTCCTTGCCAACCATCTGACTTATCCTGGAATTGTGCAGGCGAATTTGAGGAGGATCTGCAACAGGAGGAGCGCATGGATAAGATGAGCAGGGTAAGATAGATATATAGATTCTCCTTTATTTACACCCGATATCATAAGGCTAACATATGACAAACATGGAGCTTTGATCACATATATCATCGAGAACGTAGATAGGCAGAATACAAAGCCACTGAAAGTTTACAATTGGCATTATAATGCAGCGATATAAATCTTACACGGTTGCCGCCTCCGACAATTGAAATTGAAACATTAACGGTACATTGTGGTCAGTATGATATATACTACCGTGAATAATGGAGGGTAAATATGTGTTTGGGGTGTGTTTGCAGGTACATATGTAGTGCAATATTTATTCGCCTCGTACAGCAAGCTATGCTTGCGACCTCCAACGCGTAACCTATATCTTATCAATATCTTATCTATATATCTTCGCGGTAGAAATATAAAACACAGATTCATGTCTATAATAGACATACACTTATACTTATAGATGCATGCTAGACACATTTATTATTATTATTATTATTATTATTATTATTATTATTATTATTATTTACAGATTAAAATAAAAAATGCAGCAAAGAGGGTTGGGATGATCCTGGCACAGTCAGGCTGGTTAGGCTCATCATCAGCTCAGGGCCCTTGCCCAATCTTACACGCAGCCCAGACAGCGAATGGGATTTCTCCCAGGAAGCGCTGCCTCGTCAAACCCACCCAGAACTTTTCGGAGAATGTGAAGACTCCCTAACACTGCAGCCTTCAGGATTACCCAGATTGTCAGAAGGGCTGTAAATGGGCTTATTCCAAAGAATTCTGTATTGATCATTTTCCATTATCGTCCTCTAAATATTCCGGGTCGTACCATGGGTGGATCTCTGTGTCAAAACCACAAGCATGGCGAAAACGGTAATAAAATGATCGAGCTACGCCATCATGTCGTTTAAGATACTGTGTTTGTGCCAAAGCTGGGCATCCACTTACAATGTGCTGGACACTCTCATTAAATTCATTACATAATCTACATTTCATATTTACATTTTGATGCAAAATGACACATTGACGGTTTCCAGTGGGAAGTGACTCGTCCTGAGCAGCAAACAGAAAGCCTCCTCTTATTATTTTTATTATTATTATTATTATTATTATTATTATTATTATTATTATTATTATTATTATTTACTGCAGATATCCAGGTACAAGTATCTGCTCAAGTGCGGTATTATGTGTTCCCCGACCAGAGGATCCGTTTGCATTCCAGTTATTCCATTCTGTACAACCCAAGCTACCTACGGGCGCGAGGAGGTTTTAGCATCCAACTCACATATCGGGCACCCACTTCCTGTTGGGTGTACAGAGGCATATTTAAACTAAGTCACTTGTTGTGCTTCCGGTGTAGGTACGTATTCGTGTTTCCATCATATTATAATAATCGGAAGCTCCGCGTTCATACAGTTTGGCCCACGCTCTAAAAATTTGATTCTCCAGTGAGCCCAGTGGGATTTCAGGGTTAGAACAGGCCCCCAGCAGAATACAGTGGTCTGGACTGAGATTTAGTCCAAAAAGTAATCATATTTTAAAAACATATATCTAAAAAACACACAAAAAAGGAAATCCTTAATGGAGTCCAGAACAATCCTTAACTAGAGCTGAGGCAATCTAGACTTGAGTTGGACTTCATTTTTAATATAGGGTCTGTGAAGCACGGTGGTCGTAAGATGCGATATAAGGATCGGGTTGTCAGGCTTGGTGACTTCGTGTCATAATATCAATGGAATGTCTGGTTCAAACTCGATTATTTATACAGGCCGCTGTGATGACATTATTGTGACTGACATCAAACAACAAACACACATATGAATTCACACAAAGTGAAAAGGCAGTTCTTGAATAGCCATACGTCATGAAGTCTATCTGTTAATTTGGATGCAGATAAGATGAAAGACATATTCATCGGCAAATCATAAATGGAAACTCACACTCGACAGTGACTTGAATTTGTCTATTCATGACTGGTGGAACAGTGTTATTGGCCAGGCACTCGTATGTGTCGGCACAGGATTGCGTGATGTTGTGAATACGTAACACGTTCCCTTCTTTGCCAACCTCTGAAACAAATAGATATTAGCTTTAAAAAATATGTAAATTATTTAAATGCAAAATACTCCTTCCTGTGTAGTTGACAATCTATACAGTTTAGTTGAACGTTCTCTGGCATTTTGGGTGCCATGTTCATTTAAAGGCATTTCAATACAACTGACAATGAAGAGAGTTGCTGTTTATCTTACTTTCTCTTAGTTTCGACCCCCACACGTTCAGCCTGTACCACGTGATAACAGGAGGTGGTATCCCCGTCGCATTACACATGAGTTCCACGTGATCACCCACGCGTGCTTTCACGTCATTGGATTCTGTGTAGTCTATAATAGTAGGCGGAACTGCAACAAATAACATATTTATATTTCCACTATACACGGCAGCTGATACACGAGGTCAAACACAACCAGTGAGCGCGAGAGTGTGAATGTTTTTCATGACGTTATGATGTAATATAGAAACAAATTTTACACCAGATTTACATATAATTGAAATACAATGACATCAGTACTAAAACTTGTTCCGGATTCCTATCGAAAGATGGTATGATCTTGTCACGTGATGGTTGAACTGATGGTGAAACATGTGCGCACTGCTTTACTATTCTCAGATATGCAGTCAACGGTAAGCTGACTACATACTGCGCCATTGTACTCAGATACGAAGTTTTGCCGTCTACCTACTGTGTCCCACTGTTCTATAACATGCAGTCAACGTTTTGCCGTCTACCTACTGTGTCCCACTGTTCTATAACATGCAGTCAACGTTTTGCCGTCTACCCACTGTGTCCCACTGTTCTATAACATGAAGTCAACGTTTTGCCGTCTACCTACTGTGTCCCACTGTTCTATAACATGCAGTCAACGTTTTGCCGTCTACCCACTGTGTCCCACTGTTCTATAACCCGCAGTCAACGTTTTGCCGTCTACCTACTGTGTCCCACTGTTCTATAACATGCAGTCAACGTTTTGCCGTCTACCCACTGTGTCCCACTGTTCTATAACATGCAGTCAACGTTTTGCAGTCTACCTACTGTGTCCCACTGTTCTATAACATGCAGTCAACATGTTGCCGTCTACCCACTGTGTCCCACTGTTCTATATCATGCAGTCAACGTTTTTGCCGTCTACCTACTGTGTCCCACTGTTCTATAACATGCAGTCAACGTTTTGCCGTCTAACCATTGTGTCCCACTGTTCTATAACTAGCAGTCAACGTTTTGCCGTCTACCTACTGTGTCCCACTGTTCTAAAAGATGCAGTCAACGTTTTGCCGTCTACCTACTGTGTCCCACTGTTCTATAACATGCAGTCAACGTTTTGCCGTCTACCCACTGTGTCCCGCTGTTCTATAACATGTAGTCAACGTTTTGTCGTCTACCTACTGTGTCCCACTGTTCTAAAAGATGCAGTCAACGTTTTGCCGTCTACCTACTGTGTCCCACTGTTCTATAACATGCAGTCAACGATTTGCCGTCTACCCACTGTGTCCCACTGTTCTATAACATGCAGTCAACGTTTTGCAGTCTACCTACTGTGTCCCACTGTTCTATAACATGCAGTCAACATGTTGCCGTCTACCCACTGTGTCCCACTGTTCTATATCATGCAGTCAACGTTTTTGCCGTCTACCTACTGTGTCCCACTGTTCTATAACATGCAGTCAACGTTTTGCAGTCTAACCATTGTGTCCCACTGTTCTATAACTAGCAGTCAACGTTTTGCCGTCTACCTACTGTGTCCCACTGTTCTAAAAGATGCAGTCAACGTTTTGCCGTCTACCTACTGTGTCCCACTGTTCTATAACATGCAGTCAACGTTTTGCCGTCTACCCACTGTGTCCCACTGTTCTATAACATGCAGTCAACGTTTTGCAGTCTACCTACTGTGTCCCACTGTTCTATAACATGCAGTCAACATGTTGCCGTCTACCCACTGTGTCCCACTGTTCTATATCATGCAGTCAACGTTTTTGCCGTCTACCTACTGTGTCCCACTGTTCTATAACATGCAGTCAACGTTTTGCCGTCTACCCACTGTGTCCCACTGTTCTATAACATGCAGTCAACGTTTTGCAGTCTACCTACTGTGTCCCACTGTTCTATAACATGCAGTCAACGTTTTGCCGTCTACCCACTGTGTCCCACTGTTCTATAACATGCAGTCAACGTTTTGCAGTCTACCTACTGTGTCCCACTGTTCTATAACATGCAGTCAACATGTTGCCGTCTACCCACTGTGTCCCACTGTTCTATATCATGCAGTCAACGTTTTGCCGTCTACCTACTGTGTCCCACTGTTCTAAAAGATGCAGTCAACGTTTTGCCGTCTACCCATTGTGTCCCACTGTTCTATAACATGCAGTCAACATGTTGCCGTCTACCCACTGTGTCCCACTGTTCTATAACATGAAGTCAACGTTTTGCCGTCTACCTACTGTGTCCCACTGTTCTATAACATGCAGTCAACGTTTTGCCGTCTACCCACTGTGTCCCACTGTTCTATAACCCGCAGTCAACGTTTTGCCGTCTACCCACTGTGTCCCACTGTTCTATAACATGCAGTCAACGTTTTGCCGTCTACCCACTGTGTCCCACTGTTCTATAACATGCAGTCAACGTTTTGCAGTCTACCTACTGTGTCCCACTGTTCTATAACATGCAGTCAACATGTTGCCGTCTACCCACTGTGTCCCACTGTTCTATATCATGCAGTCAACGTTTTTGCCGTCTACCTACTGTGTCCCACTGTTCTATAACATGCAGTCAACGTTTTGCCGTCTAACCATTGTGTCCCACTGTTCTATAACTAGCAGTCAACGTTTTGCCGTCTACCTACTGTGTCCCACTGTTCTAAAAGATGCAGTCAACGTTTTGCCGTCTACCTACTGTGTCCCACTGTTCTATAACATGCAGTCAACGTTTTGCCGTCTACCCACTGTGTCCCACTGTTCTATAACATGCAGTCAACGTTTTGCCGTCTACCTACTGTGTCCCACTGTTCTAAAAGATGCAGTCAACGTTTTGCCGTCTACCTACTGTGTCCCACTGTTCTATAACATGCAGTCAACGTTTTGCCGTCTACCCACTGTGTCCCACTGTTCTATAACATGCAGTCAACGTTTTGCAGTCTACCTACTGTGTCCCACTGTTCTATAACATGCAGTCAACATGTTGCCGTCTACCCACTGTGTCCCACTGTTCTATATCATGCAGTCAACGTTTTTGCCGTCTACCTACTGTGTCCCACTGTTCTATAACATGCAGTCAACGTTTTGCCGTCTAACCATTGTGTCCCACTGTTCTATAACTAGCAGTCAACGTTTTGCCGTCTACCTACTGTGTCCCACTGTTCTAAAAGATGCAGTCAACGTTTTGCCGTCTACCTACTGTGTCCCACTGTTCTATAACATGCAGTCAACGTTTTGCCGTCTACCCACTGTGTCCCACTGTTCTATAACATGCAGTCAACGTTTTGCAGTCTACCTACTGTGTCCCACTGTTCTATAACATGCAGTCAACATGTTGCCGTCTACCCACTGTGTCCCACTGTTCTATATCATGCAGTCAACGTTTTTGCCGTCTACCTACTGTGTCCCACTGTTCTATAACATGCAGTCAACGTTTTGCCGTCTACCCACTGTGTCCCACTGTTCTATAACATGCAGTCAACGTTTTGCAGTCTACCTACTGTGTCCCACTGTTCTATAACATGCAGTCAACGTTTTGCCGTCTACCCACTGTGTCCCACTGTTCTATAACATGCAGTCAACGTTTTGCAGTCTACCTACTGTGTCCCACTGTTCTATAACATGCAGTCAACATGTTGCCGTCTACCCACTGTGTCCCACTGTTCTATATCATGCAGTCAACGTTTTTGCCGTCTACCTACGGTGTCCCACTGTTCTATAACATGCAGTCAACGTTTTGCCGTCTACCCACTGTGTCCCACTGTTCTATAACATGCAGTCAACGTTTTGCCGTCTACCCACTGTGTCCTACTGTTCTATAACATGCAGTCAACGTTCTGCCGTCTACCTACTGTGTACCACTGTTCTATAACATGCAGTCAACGTTTTGCCGTCTACCCACTGTGTCCCACTGTTCTATAACATGCAGTCAACATTTTGCCGTCTAACCATTGTGTCACACTGTTCTATAACATGCAGTCAACGTTTTGCCGTCTACCTACTGTGTCCCACTGTTCTAAAAGATGCAGTCAACGTTTTGCCGTCTACCCATTGTGTCCCACTGTTCTATAACATGCAGTCAACGTTTTGCCGTCTACCCACTGTGTCCCACTGTTCTATAACATGAAGTCAACGTTTTGCCGTCTACCTACTGTGTCCCACTGTTCTATAACATGCAGTCAACGTTTTGCCGTCTACCTACTGTGTCCCACTGTTCTATAACATGCAGTCAACGTTTTGCCGTCTACCTACTGTGTCCCACTGTTCTATAACATGCAGTCAACGTTTTGCCGTCTAACCATTGTGTCCCACTGTTCTATAACTAGCAGTCAACGTTTTGCCAACTACCTACTGTGTCCCACTGTTCTAAAAGATGCAGTCAACGTTTTGCCGTCTACCCATTGTGTCCCACTGTTCTATAACATGCAGTCAACGTTTTGCCGTCTACCTACTGTGTCCCACTGTTCTATAACATGCAGTCAACGTTTTGCCGTCTATCCATTGTGTCCCACTGTTCTATAACATGAAGTCAACGTTTGCCGTCTACCTACTGTGTCCCACTGTTCTATAACATGCAGTCAACGTTTTGCCGTCTCCCCACTGTGTCCCACTGTTCTATAACATGCAGTCAACGTTTTGCCGTCTACCCACTGTGTCCCACTGTTCTATAACATGCAGTCAACTGTTTGCCGTCTACCTACTATGTCCCACTGTTCTATAACATGCAGTCAACGTTTTGCCGTCTACCAACTATGTCCCACTGTTCTATAACATGCAGTCAACGTTTTGCCGTCTACCTACTGTGTCCCACTGTTCTATAACATGCAGACAACGTTTTGCCGTCTACCTACTGTGTCCCACTGTTCTATAACATGCAGTCAACGTTTTGCCGTCTACCCACTGTGTCCCACTGTTCTATAACATGCAGTCAACATTTTGCCGTCTACCCACTGTGTCCTACTATTCTCACACATGCAGTCAACATTTTGCCGTCTACCTACTGTGTCCTACTGTTATTTAACATGCAGTCAACGTTTTGCCGTCTACCCATTGTGTCCCACTGTTCGATAACATTCAGTCAACGTTTTGCAGTCTACCCACTGTGTCCCACTGTTCTATAACATGCAGTCAACGTTTTGCCGTCTACCCACTGTGTCCCACTGTTCTATAACATGCAGTCAACATTTTGCCGTCTACCCAATGTGTCCTACTATTCTCACACATGCAGTCAACATTTTGCCGTCTACCTACTGTGTCCTACTGTTATTTAACATGCAGTCAACGTTTTGCCGTCTATCCATTGTGTCCCACTGTTCTATAACATGCAGTCAATGTTTTGCCGTCTACCTACTGTGTCCCACTGTTCTATAACATGCAGTCAACGTTTTGCCGTCTACCTACTGTGTCCCACTGTTCTATAACATGCAGTCAATGTTTTGCCGTCTACCCACTGTGCCCCACTGTTCAATAACAAGCAGTCAATGTTTTGCCGTCTACCTACTATGTCCCACTGTTCTATAACATGCAGTCAACGTTTTGCCGTCTACCCACTGTGTCCCACTGTTCTATATCATGCAGTCAACATTTTGCCGTCTACCCACTGTGTCCTACTATTCTCACACATGCAGTCAACATTTTGCCGTCTACCTACTGTGTCCTACTGTTATTTAACATGCAGTCAACGTTTTGCCGTCTACCCATTGTGTCCCACTGTTCGATAACATGCAGTCAACGTTTTGCAGTCTACCCACTGTGTCCCACTGTTCTATAACATGCAGTCAACGTTTTGCCGTCTACCCACTGTGTCCCACTGTTCTATAACATGCAGTCAACATTTTGCCGTCTACCCACTGTGTCCTACTATTCTCACACATGCAGTCAACATTTTGCCGTCTACCTACTGTGTCCTACTGTTATTTAACATGCAGTCAACGTTTTGCCGTCTACCCATTGTGTCCCACTGTTCTATAACATGCAGTCAACATTTTGCCGTCTACCTACTGTGTCCCACTGTTCTATAACATGCAGTCAATGTTTTGCCGTCTACCTACTATGTCCCACTGTTCTATAACATGCAGTCAACGTTTTGCCGTCTACCTACTGTGTCCCACTGTTCTATAACATGCAGTCAACGTTTTGCCGTCTACCCACTGTGCCCCACTGTTCAATAACAAGCAGTCAATGTTTTGCCGTCTACCTACTATGTCCCACTGTTCTATAACATGCAGTCAACGTTTTGCCGTCTACCCACTGTGTCCCACTGTTCTATAACATGCAGTCAACATTTTGCCGTCTACCCACTGTGTCCTACTATTCTCACACATGCAGTCAACATTTTGCCGTCTACCTACTGTGTCCCACTGTTCTATAACATGCAGTCAACGTTTTGCCGTCTACCCATTGTGTCCCACTGTTCGATAACATTCAGTCAACGTTTTGCCGTCTACCCACTGTGTCCCACTGTTCTATAACATGCAGTCAACGTTTTGCCGTCTACCCACTGTGTCCCACTGTTCTATAACATGCAGTCAACATTTAGCCGTCTACCCACTGTGTCCTACTATTCTCACACATGCAGTCAACATTTTGCCGTCTACCTACTGTGTCCTACTGTTATTTAACATGCAGTCTACGTTTTGCCGTCTACCCATTGTGTCCCACTGTTCTATAACATGCAGTCAACATTTTGCCGTCTACCTACTGTGTCCCACTGTTCTATAACATGCAGTCAACGTTTTGCCGTCTACCCACTGTGCCCCACTGTTCAATAACAAGCAGTCAATGTTTTGCCGTCTACCTACTATGTCCCACTGTTCTATAACATGCAGTCAACGTTTTGCCGTCTACCCACTGTGTCCCACTGTTCTATAACATGCAGTCAACGTTTTGCCGTCTACCCACTGTGTCCTACTATTCTCACACATGCAGTCAACATTTTGCCGTCTACCTACTGTGCCCCACTGTTCTATAACATGCAGTCAGCGTTTTGCAGTCTACCGTCTCTGTCCTACTATTCTCACACATGCAGTCAACGTTTTGCCGTCTACCCACTGTGTCCTACTATTCTCACACATGCAGTCAACATTTTGCCGTCTACCTACTGTGTCCTACTGTTATTTAACATGCAGTCAACATTTTGCCGTCTACCCATTGTGTCCCACTGTTCGATAACATTCAGTCAACGTTTTGCAGTCTACCCACTGTGTCCCACTGTTCTATAACATGCAGTCAACGTTTTGCCGTCTACCCACTGTGTCCCACTGTTCTATAACATGCAGTCAACATTTAGCCGTCTACCCACTGTGTCCTACTATTCTCACACATGCAGTCAACATTTTGCCGTCTACCTACTGTGTCCTACTGTTATTTAACATGCAGTCAACGTTTTGCCGTCTACCCATTGTGTCCCACTGTTCTATAACATGCAGTCAACGTTTTGCCGTCTACCTACTGTGTCCCACTGTTCTATAACATGCAGTCAACGTTTTGCCGTCTACCCACTGTGCCCCACTGTTCAATAACAAGCAGTCAATGTTTTGCCGTCTACCTACTATGTCCCACTGTTCTATAACATGCAGTCAACGTTTTGCCGTCTACCCACTGTGTCCCACTGTTCTATAACATGCAGTCAACATTTTGCCGTCTACCCACTGTGTCCTACTATTCTCACACATGCAGTCAACATTTTGCCGTCTACCTACTGTGTCCTACTGTTATTTAACATGCAGTCAACGTTTTGCCGTCTACCCATTGTGTCCCACTGTTCTATAACATGCAGTCAACGTTTTGCCGTCTACCTACTGTGTCCCACTGTTCTATAACATGCAGTCAACGTTTTGCCGTCTACCCACTGTGCCCCACTGTTCAATAACAAGCAGTCAATGTTTTGCCGTCTACCTACTATGTCCCACTGTTCTATAACATGCAGTCAACGTTTTGCCGTCTACCCACTGTGTCCCACTGTTCTATAACATGCAGTCAACATTTTGCCGTCTACCCACTGTGTCCTACTATTCTCACACATGCAGTCAACATTTTGCCGTCTACCTACTCTGCCCCACTGTTCTATAACATGCAGTCAGCGTTTTGCAGTCTACCGTCTCTGTCCTACTATTCTCACACATGCAGTCAACGGTTTACCGTCTACCAGTTGTCTTTCGATACTGACCATGTCAAATAGTTACATTTTATTGAAGCTGAAGACATCTGGTAATGGAGATGTTGTGATGTAGTGAAGATTCAACAGTCAAACATGGCATTGGCAAGGTGCAGGTTTCAAAGATCACGACCTCGAAGAAGTTATCATGTAGCCATTAAACAAGATGCCACTCAAAAAAGATTTCCGTTGCTGCTTGAATCTTTTATTACATTGAACCACATAGATCGACCACACTTTGAAGAGAAACATACTATATGGCATACTTTACTGTAAAGTGAATGTTTACTGTAATGCTGCAACTGAGTGTTTTGCTGAGCATCATAACAAAATGATCAGATACTGCAATGAAACAATTCACTTTCAGGTGTTTTCTTGCTTATCACGAGGGAATACATATGTGCCCCAGGTGAAGTTCTGCTGTAATTTGCTTGAACAGGCAAAGAATTACACTTCATAAAAATAAACTAAAATCAATTTTCATATCGACTTGAAACAAAAAATAACAACAGTAAAAATGTGTTGAAAAAGGAAGTTAAATAGTGTTCGCTGCATCTATGTAATTACATCAGGGAGTTCGATGGCTCTGTAACTGAAACACCGGGGGCGGGTGTTCTGGCGGTTTCAAAACATGTATGCTCTACATTTTTAGATTAATTAAGAAAACAACCCCAAGGTTTTATGAATACATTCGGGCGGCATCCCAGAGACGTGAATATTATCCACCAGGGAAGTTGCTGTTCCAAGTCCTGTATATGATGATCTGGAAGCACTGTACTTGTGTGGGTTTCAGAACACTGTTTACCTTTCTCGGCCTGTGTCAAAATAGTTGTTTCCTACATTAATCATATGGACATTGGGCTATGTGGTTTCAAAAAGTCGGCCCTAAAACTGGAATCATCTAGGTTAACATTCAACATGATAGACATTGCCGGTTAAGGGCAGCTGCAACACATGTTTACAATGGAAGGATGGACTGATGGACGAAAGATATAGCGCCTTCGTTTCAAACGACTTTCACAAAATGTCATGGTATAGCTAAACAATGTGTACAAACCCAACTCATTCACACACGTACTCACTCACTCACTCTGGCACTGTACACCACTTACCCTGGACAACTAGCTTCACCCTTTTTGATCTAACAGGGTCTGTGTTTATTTGACACTTGTATTCCCCTTTGTCTGTCACCGAAACATTCCTTATGTGGAGGTTCCAGTCGCTAAGAAAGGGTCTCTCAACGCTGATCCTCATATCAGTTAAGACTCGCCTGTCTCGGACACTGATTACAGTCTGTATGGGGTTCTGCCATAACACCTGCAGGAACAAACAACGTTATTAAAGACCAGCCTTTCCCGGACACTGATTACAGTATGTGTGGGGTTCTGCCATAACACCTGCAGGAACAAACCGCGTTATTAAAGACTCGCCTGTCTCGGACACTGATTAAAGTTAGTATGGTGTTCTGCCATAACACCTGCAGGAATAAACCACGTTATTTAAGACTCGCCTTTCCCGGACAATAAATGTAGCCTGTATAGGGGTCTGCCATAAGACCTGCAGGAATAAACCACCTTATTAAAGACCCGTCCGTCCCGGACACCAATTACAGTCTGTATGGGGTTCTGCCATAACACCTGCAGGAATAAACCACGTTATTTAAAGACCCGCCTGTCCCGGACAATGAATGTAGCCTGTATAGGGGTCTGCCATAACACCTGCAGGAACAAACCACGTTATTAAAGACCCGCCTTTCCCGGACACAGATTACAGTCTGTGTGGGGTTCTGCCATAACACCTGCAGGAACAAACCACGTTATTAAAGACCCGCCTTTCCCGGACACAGATTACAGTCTGTGTGGGGTTCTGCCATAACACCTGCAGGAACAAACCACGTTATTAAAGACCCGCCTTTCCCGGACACAGATTACAGTCTGTGTGGGGTTCTGCCATAACACCTGTAAGAAGAAACCACGTTATTAAAGACTCGCCTGTCTCGGACACTGATTAAAGTAAGTATGGTGTTCTGCCATAACACCTGCAGGAATAAACCACGTTATTTAAAGACCCGCCTGTCCCGGACAATAAATGTAGCCTGTATAGGGGTCTGCCATAACATCTGCAGGAAAAACTACCTTACTAAAGACCCGCCTTTCCCGGACACTGATTAAAGTAAGTATGGCGTTCTGCCATAACACCTGTAGGAATTACCCGCCTGTCCCGGACACCGATTACAGTCTGTATGGGGATCTGCCATAACACCTGCAGGAACAAACCACGTTATTAAAGACCCGCCTTTCCCGGACACCGATTACAGTCTGTGTCGGGATCTGCCATAACACCTGCAGGAATAAACCACGTTATTAAAGACCCGCCTTTCCCGGACACCGATTGCAGTCTGTGTGGGGATCTGCCATAACACCTGCAGGAACAAACCACGTTATTAAAGATTCGCCTTTCCCGGACCCGTGCCCCGTGGTTAATGAGAAGACGAATCTTTAACATTTCTCACAATAATAAATACATGTAATGATCTCATAACTATTTCCTGGCATTTGACAGTCGCAAGGAAATCTTCGACTGAAACTATATGCCTTAAACTTCACACAGACTCAATGTTACAAGTGGAGAGGAATATTTACTCGTTTCATAAACACAATGTTATAGGTGCATCAAAAGCGCGTGATTGTCAAATTTTTCTTATTTCAAATGTGTTCCCATATTAGGACATGGAGATGAGAAAGAACATCACACTGAAGTTTATAATTTTAAATTCACAAACATTGACATTCGATGGTTCACCGCTAAAAAAATATTTTAAAGCGAAGCCAACAAGCAATTAATCTCACTAATGTGTTTGAATACTGTTGAATCAAAATATTGGCATATAGACAATGTCGTGCTCAATATGTCCGCCCGGCAGGGATCATTTGGGCTTACAATAAAGGGGATTTAGAGCAACATCGAAAGCAATCAAATTGCAGCTTTCCCAATCGATATACAGAAATATTCAAACAACACATGTAGAAATAATATATCAATCGCGCGGTTGCTGTTTTGCTAAAAACGAACCCAAACTCTGACGCCTGGTTTGATATCAAGTGACGGATTGAATAAATACTAGCATTATCGTTAGGTACACGAAAATATTAATTTATTTAGGGTTTTCACACAAATATAACTGTCTTCTTTGTCAAGGTACTCGAAGTCAAGTCGTACATTGGCTTGTGATAACATGATCTGATCTGAACATTGCTAATCAGGGACACGGACGAGGAAGTGATCTAAAGTATAAGAAACATGCCGCGGGTGAAGGAAACATATCATTTCTGTGTACATTTAAAAGATCTGAATCTGTCAGTCTTGTCATCAACATTGTATCCGATTCTTTATTGTCAGGTGTCTACTTATATGATGGATTAAATATTAGTAAGTACAGCTTTTAAATCGAATGGTTAACATTTATATCATTGATTGCTTATCGAGTATAACCTGTATATGATACTTCACAAATCACAAAGTTTGACTTTAATACAATTATGGACAACAATATCGTGTATGAAGAAGGTACGCCAATTTGAGGCTCTACACGTGCAGATTAAGGTATGGCCATTAGAATTCCAGGGGGAACCATGATGGTACTTTCATGACGTATCTGCCTCCAGTTAGTTGATTTTCCAAACAGTTTTGCAAAGAAAAAGACAATGCGTTGGGATGTTTCCTGATCACACTGAAGACGGTTCTGATATAATGAAAATGTACGTAGTTTGGTATCCCCCAAGTCTACCACATTGATTCCTATTAGTATTATGATTTGCCACTCATCATATTTGGGTATCTCATTAATACCTTTTATTAGGAATGCTTCGTGTTTGTTTCATCGCTCCTTTTCACAGTGCCTCATATACATTTCTATCATCCTCCCCTTTCGCATCGGGTCATGAATCTGTTTGCAGTGTGGTATGCTTCACGTCCATTTTTTACATTATGTTATTCCTGTTATCTGAGTTTATAAGACATATGTTTTTATGTTAACAAAATTACGTTTGCATGACGAATTAGTGTTGCGCAATCAGAAAAGCTCGCCAGTCTGGTACATCTAGGGAAGCTGATGAATTCTCTGATTGCTAAACTGAAATCATAGATCTTAACAAGTTGGATTTCCGCACATTTTGTTCACGAGGAAAAGGCATCGAACGATCAAAGTAAAACCCTTTGTACTTAACAATCTTTATGTCTTTCCTCGTTTAGCTGGAGCATTAAAATTACAGGTCTCGTAACTTACAATGAGCGACACTGCAGATATCTGATGTTTGGTAATAAACTGTAGAATGGACATCTTTAAGTACTGTGTCCGTGAAAGATAATTTAACTGATATTGTTATCTGGAAAAAAAACTAATGACGTTCTGTCCAGACATAAATATCATTAGGAGTGAAAATACTTACGCTGTACTGGTCGCCATAGCTCTCTGTATATTTAGGGTCAACGGTGCAAGGCAAAATGGCGGTTGATCCGGAAATGACCTTAACAGTTATTGGTGTTTCGTCGATAACTCGGTCGTCTTGAGCAAATCCTGAAACAACAATATATGTGTACAATGAAGAAATCACGTGATTCAACGTATGTTTTACTTCAAAATATAGTGTTGTAACATTGTTACTTCCAATTTAAACTAAGCGTTGGATGTTATATTAGTGAGATATTAAGCTATTGGGAAGAGATTTGCTGTTCAGAGAGAATATTACGACATCAATATAATATTATCATTGTCATGGTAACACGCATTCGTATGACGTATCACCGCATTTAGAAGAGCACTTTCTGAGTTGTAAGATATGTTAATTTTGCAACATCGTTAAGAATGGTCAATACTGAGTACAAATGATGCTTATTATTCTAACATGGGCAATCTTGACCTAAGCCGACTTACTTACGATACGTCGGCAGGACTGTAAGAACTATAGGCTGATAATAATTATCGCACATTAGAGTTCTCTCACAAAGAACGCATGTTTTATGTACTTAACGAACCTCCACGCATAAGAATTATTTTGTCAATAGTCATGTAATATTTTGTGATGAGCTTTCGTTATCCATCTATAAAAATCGGGGCTTAACAAGCATCTATTAACAGAATGTTAAATCTTGTAATTAACTTTTACATTATACTTTGATGTCGGAATACTTTGATGTCGGAAATGTTTCACTTTACAGTTTACTTATTGTCGGAAATATCTTACTTTAGAGTTTACATATAATTAATGTCGGCAATATTTCACTTTACAGTTCACGTGCTGTCGGAAATATCTTACTTTAGAGTTTACATATAATTAATGTCGGCAATATTTCACTTTACAGTTCACGTGCTGTCGGAAATATCTTACTTTACAGTTTACTTACTATCGCAAATAACTTAATTTTGCAGTTTACATATAATTAATGTCGGCAATATTTCACTTTACAGTTGACGTACTGTCGGAAATATCTTATTTTACGGTTTACTTACTGTCGGAAATATCTTACTTTACAGTTTACCTACTGTCGGAAATATCTTACTTTACGCTTTCTATATCATTAATGTCATAAAGGGACCAGCCACTGCAAGATTTACAACTGACATCGAGATTCGCATGGGAGTTAATTTGACTTCCAGAAAAAAAAGTAGCATTAACGGCACATATATCCTCGAAACTAGAGTTGTCATACGAAAGATGCGACAGTGTCCGGCAGATCGACGGCCACTGTTAGCGAGTAATTTGGATTGCTATGGCCTTGTAGAATGTTGCTAAAACTTAAAGGATTCTTTTGCCAGTGACGGACAGTATTCCAAATGTATCGACATTGACCCCGCATCTGACCCCGCGCTTGTCCGAACACAGTGATTTGTGTACTGTTGTGATAACACAACCGCCCGAAGGAGGGGGGTTCGCGAGATAACGTACGGCACAATCTGGTGGTAATAAATGTAAATGACGAGTGCTTCCTTTGATCTCTCTCCCATCTGTCATACAATTTTGCATTCATTAAAAAAACAATTTACAGTGAATGACAACTCTCATATGCTTGATACGTAGGGTTTATAACAATTATACTAAAAGTATATGGGCCCGTAGACATACTATTTAAGAACTAGTAATTGCATTTAAGACAACCAATTTGATTTAGACATATTTTATCACAAGGGAAAAGATTGGGCACACGTTTTTAAAAATAAGATATGCCTCTTTCATAATATTTACATAATTAGCGTTTATTCAACATAACAATTGAAACACGTACAAAAGACAGAGAGAAGCTTCAGGAGTTGTGGACCGAGAGAAACAACTGTACATTTTCTTTGCAGCTGAGGTGGGAGCTCCCGTTTAACAACAATACTATATCAGGAAACAGTTTGTTTTTACAAATTTCACTTTTGTTATGAAACATTATATTCCTTGCAGTTTGATAAGGTGGACATTCTTTTAAGTAACTGATAAACGTTTTCACACGGAGAACTACAGTGACAGTCAGGGCTGCCAAATAAACCAATTCTAAATACGTCATAATTCAACTGAGAGCCTAAGTAGCGTAATTGTGTAAGCAATATATTGCTCGTCCTTAAAACACAGGAAAAATATGATGGCGCACATTTTGTTTGTATTTTTGTTACTCTTAAAAGAGCTCAGAGAATCAATTACAAGGTCTATGCGGGGATCCATAATAATGATACATATTCGTGTTTGTGCGTTCATTACCAGAAGAAGATTAGAAACGTTAAAGGCTAACAATGGACTGATCTGGTTTTCAGTGTAAATAATAATGATAATAGTTATTTCTCCATTGAATCTATGATATTAAATATTGGAATGATGATGTTTAGCATTGGAATGGGGATGTTTAGTATCGGGAAGATGATGTGAAGTATTGGAAAGATGATGTTTAGTATCGAAAGAAGATGTTTAGTATTTGAAAGATGATGTATAGTATTGGAATGATGATGTTTAGCATTGGAATGGTGATGTTTAATATGGGAATTATGGTGTTTAGCATTGGAATAGTGATGTTTAATATGGGAATTATGGTGTTTAGCATTGGAAAGATGATGTTTAGTATTATAATACTGCTGCTGGATCACCATGATCATGGTATGGTCTAATTTAGCATAAAACCACAAAAATATTCCTAAAGCTCGTGTGTACGACTAATATCATTACAAATGACTAAATCAAACGAATCACGCTTTTCATTAAAATTTTAATGCTTCCCAATGACATGGACTAGTAATAGTGCTTTTCTATAGACATAGCTTTTCGTTTAATAGTAATGTTTGTGATACAACGTTTTCAAAACATCAAAAGAATTAAACGTTGAATGTAATATGATGCTGTGTTTGCTTTGCTTGTTTAATATGCACTACATTATTCTCAACGTTCCACCGTTGTTTACGATGTCACCAAGCATCCAAGTCTAACTGCGCAATCCACGTAGGCGCATGTCGAAACAAAAACATCGGTTGCTGGGACCAGCTTTAATCCAGAATCCCAAGAAAGTGGCATGATGCATGCTGCCCTTACAAAACTTCACCCAGAATAATTGAATATAAATAAATATAGTAGTCTAATGACAGGAGTACCGCTGTGCGGCGTAGGGCAACAAACATTTACACCAGGTGACACTCACTGATTTTCAGTGATTCATTCATATAATTTTCAACGCTATTTTGCCTTTTACGCCCAATGAAATTTATTTCGACAGATAATCCAGACTGATTATTATCTGGCTTTGACGTTTCATATTACAAGTTATGCTACGCAAAGTGATACCCTCATTTGAACCTAAGTCCAACTTATTCGTATTTTAGAATCACAAAATCACATAATTTAGAAAACTCTAAAAGTCACCTGTTATGCGCATGTATGATGGGCATAACTAGTGTCACACAAAGTATTATACAGTTTAATATTGAGCGAAACAGAAATCTACCTTCATTTGAACAGACTCTTGCACTGGACATGCAAAATACAGAAATTTATACTAAATCCTAAATAACAAAAGGCACGAGTTTAGAGCATACACAGTTTTATGAAACAATACCGAACGGTTTATAAATTATGCAACTGAAACGAAACACGACGGACAAATAGACGAAGTCCGTTTGTATATTCCCCGCAAAACCTTCGATACTAACAACTTTTGTTTGCAAACAGATTAAATGTGTCTTCTTCAAAATCACAGAACCATTCTATAAGTACGTTGGGAATGACTCTTATACCTTCGTGACATGATTGTATCCTGTTGGTTATTAACTGTAGTTTGTACAATATGGGCAGTGCTGTCGAATTTGTACAATGTCAATAGTACCGTTGTGGATATGAACTCCAAGCATCTCATATTCCGAATTCGCTGGATTAATCATCATAACAATAATAACGAAGCATCGTTAACGCTTCAACTCCTAATCATGTGGAGTAAACACAATGAGATACACTTAGTTTCCTTCACTTGCTATTTCGAATCTGCGTCTCCATGACACCGAGATATAGCCATGATCTGAGATCGTGATCCAGCATTTACTGAGGCTACAGATGGCCAGGGTGTGAGTCGAGCTTGAAGTGTCAGGAAGACCACTCGACTATGGCACTCGATCAATGGGCACAGGAAACAATCACTCACAACAATCAACACATAACTAGCATATCACCCTGTCCTACTTGTAAATAGCATTGGAAATAATGCGGCCCTAGCGTGCCAACATTTCATACACTCGGGTTTCGGGGCTCATAACCCCAGACGCAAACACGTGTCCAACAGCAACCATTAGTGGGCGCCATTTTGGGAACTATTTGCCGGACGCCCATCTTCTATTACCGTGTGTCAATCACATACGATAAGCGACGTGCTCGCTTCAACAATCGGGCCAAATTGATAGATTGTAAAAACAAATCTAGGTTGGACTGGGATCGATCTCATTCCGATTGGTTTTCCGGTTTATGAGGAGCGCAATACAGCGAAATGCTAGGGAACTATCCAAGCGAGGCTACAGCTAATAGTGAGCCTAACTGTAAGCGTCTCTGATACAGGCCACCGTCAGTTGATAAAGTCATCTATTGCTAACATAACATAAGAGAGTCAGGCAGAAAATCACCAGGGTCGAACGCAGGACAGATACGGCAGATAACGAGGAGGTAGAAATTGCATTCACAACATGTGCTCAGATGAACCAGTTGCTTCTGGATGGTCATGACAAAAAGCATGTTTTATCGCTGTTTATATCCCATAAGTTTGTAAATGTCAAAACAGCTTTTAGCGAAATTAGGCAAAATGTCGATCTAGATCGCAACAATTTATCACTGTTGTTAGCTACATGACCTCATCACTGGGTCAACAAATCATTGATCCAATAATACAGTGTCTTTATCAACCTGACTTCTTCAGTGCTACAGTCTCCATCTCTGGTCGCACGATCTAATGTTCTCTGACAACTTCTCTGAACTGAGCTTGCGTGTGTCGAAACCATCATGCCTCCCATTGCTTTGCTCTGTGCGAAAACTAGTCTAAAGTAAGCCTCGAAGTGCCGGGCAAGGAAATAGAAGC